TAATGACTTGAATCCTTTTGAACTTATATGTGACAATGCTTGGGATAAAGGAAACTTATTTTTTAAGCGTCAGATGAAATACTTCATGAAGTACCTGCACAAAGGAGCAAAAGTAAGTTTGGTAGTTTTCAAGAGGCACATGATGAAGTCCTGAACAGAGACAAAACTAATCTAGAGTGGTTACACCTTTGTTCGCAACACAGGTATTTAATATATTCTGCCTGAAGCATATTTTTAAGGAATACCGATGCGCTGCAAGCAATTAGAGTTTGATCCAAATCTCATATACACGATGATGAAAATGACCTCCCTAAAGTTTTAAAAAGTAGGTTTGCCAAATAATTTTCTGTACAGTGTGCTTTTGGAGTAATATTTTTAACTTAGGATCTGTAGTTTAGTTTATAATTTAATGTATCATCACTCTTCTAGACAGACTGAGCTAAACCCATGTTAGTATGAGTGACCCCAGACAGATTGCAGCAGATATGATCATTGATCAAGTTTGAGAAATTGTGAAACCTCTTGATGGCTCAACTCTATTCATGTCACAGTGGACATCATAATGTAAAATAAACCAAAGTGCAATCAGTCATCAGAAGTGACAGTCATCTCTATCCTAGTTCTAGCCCCTGCCCTTTGGTAATCTGATCATTTTCAGGGTAACAGTTTCCCAATCTGTTTTCACGCATAACTCCACATTCCATTCCATACATCCCTCTCCTGGATGATAAGTACCATAGGGCAAAGCTGAGAATTCCAAAGATTTCAAAATTAATATATGGCAAACTGCAAATTTTTCCTTGGTTAAAAACCTTGCTTATTTCAGTTGAAGACAGGTGAGCAAAGCACTATACCTCAATGAAGTGTTAAACAAGGAAAGCCTAGGACTAAGTCTAAGGACCACCAACTGATGGCTCGAGTTCTGCAATCTACAGTGTGTCTGGGTAAAATGTTTTTTATCCATTTCAAAGTTGTCAAGTATATTAAAACCATAGCAAGTCTGTATATGTGGTTGAGTCAGCATATCCCTGCTACGCTGTGATTACAAATGATTTGCTATCACAGATTTATCTTCTTGTTTTCACTCTTCTGGCTGACGTTTCTTTTTCCTTTGCCATCTGACACCATGACTTAGCACAAAGAATGTGAGACCAGGCACAATCTGCTGAAGATTTCTTGCATGCTTGGAAATTAAACCACTTTTGCTATTGCACACCTTCTCAAATATCCCCACACTGTGTAGGACTTCATCCAAGCCCCATCCAGAAATATCAGGAGGTGGGAATTGGAAACTCATGACCATCAGTTCAGGTAACGTTTAGCAAGGAATTCATGACTGACATTTGGGGTGCCGTCCTCTCCTATGACGTGCTCAGCACCATTATGATGCAGGTCAAATCTCAAGTTTTCTGTGTTTTGTGAACACTGGCTTGTTCCAAATGCCTCCTGCCACTAGCCCTATCATTGGTGAGCCTTCAGCCATCTGCCCCCGGTCTCTGGAACTTCCATCTTGGAGTCCTTCTGCCTCGTTCCTCCCTCTCCATCTTCAAAACGCACCTTAAGCCTCATCGCTTTGACAGAGCTTTTGGCCACATTGCCCCTTCCTTCCTCGACCAGCCATGGTTGCCTTTTATTTGTATGGAGCTCTTTGAAATGTCCTCCTGCTAAATATAAATTCTTGATGATGTTCAAAATTGTCTCCATGTGTGGCCAATATGTACATAGATAGCAGATATCCAGACAGTAAATATTGGACAGTACTGGACTTTGGAAAATCCACACACCATGTAAGAATGTGGACGATGATTTGTCCATATTGCTTTATTAAAGGGTTACAATAAATTGCTCATTTGGCACATTCTGACAAAGAAACCATGAACAACTTTAACTGTACACAAAAGTGGCTGGCAGCCAAGATTTAAAACCTTATTGCAAGGTCAGTGGTTCCACATTCAATAGAGTGGCCAAGCCATTGGGACCAAGGCCAGCCTTACCTTTTGACCTTCCCATTTTGTAGCAATTTCAATTTGGGCACAATTGTTTAGAGATTGAAGAGTGAACTTTATAATTGGCAACAAAGTCTTACAAACAAGCAGTTCAGCAAAATTTTACCTTTTAACAATATTAGTGTATATAACTGGTACTTATTTGCCTCACAGACATTGATTAAATACCTTTTATGCTGCTGAGATAACTTTTTGTTCAAAACCAGTTGGTTTAAGGCACTTGATGTGGCTCCTTCTATCCATCATGCATATATGGCTTTCACCATTAGGAAAGACCACGCTTGCTTATCTTTTTCACTCTTAATATTTGCCTAAAATTGACCATTCCAGTTTCCTCAGTCACAAGATAAACTGTCATCCTCTGTTTATGATGCAATCTCTGTTTATGGATTCCCAGTCAAAAGAAGCTTAAAGTCTATTTCTTCCACTTGTGGATACATACACCAAATTTATTTTGATGATCAGTGCCTTACTTTTGCATAATTTATTACTTTGCTACATTCCACTATTCCCCAGATCTAACCAGTATAAACCTTTAGAGACATACACACTTCAATGGTATCAAGTCTGAGCTCAGTAACATAGACTAGATACAATCCTCAGGATAAATCTGTCAAGAATAGATAGAAATCCTTCAAACACAAAACAAATGTACTTTGTAATACAGGGACAAAGGCAAACAAAAATTAATCAACAGGAAAACTAAAAGATGTTTGAGAAGAAAGAAGATTTGCAAGCACTTGTAGGGAGACCATTGAAACAACATACAAAATTATACAGAAGCAAGTTAAAAAGAGTAGATATTGGGAGCCAAGAGAAAACCTGGGAAGCAACATAACAGCAGATGTAAAGCATAATGCAAACCAAACCTTGCCAAATTCTAACCTGAAGAGGATGGTCGGGGAAGAAGTTAAAACATTAAAGGACTCAAAGTGAATTAAAAGTAAGGTCAAACAAGAGACAGGAAATGACAGCTCTTTGTAGTTTTTTTTATCAGTCAGAAACAAAGAAAATGCTGTCCAACAATCAACACATGTTCAAACTTTGAAACTTTGACATTAGTGAAGTAGAAGTTCTAAGTAGGCTCAGCCTGAAAAAGCAATATTTCCTGACACAGATGAATTATACACCAGGACACCTATGTTCACTGCCTTTCATAAGGAGAAATGTGAAGCACCGACTGGGGAGCTGCTACCAGCCTGGCAACAGGTAAATATGGTCCCATATTCAAGAAGGTGGAAATACAGACTCATTAGCTTTACCTCAAGAATTGGAAACTGAAGGGAATCCATAATCAGAAGCTAAATGGAACATTACATAGGTAAAAACAACCAGCAAAATGGCAGCCAAACTGCTTCAAAATGGATATTTTTCTCTATTCTAAATTCATACTTTCTTGAGAACAGTGGCATCCCACACTGACAGCAAGGAGCTATATGATGTAATGGACTGAGACATCCAAAGGTCTCTGTTAAATTGCCACACCGGGGACTTTTTTACACGCAAATTCCAGTGGATATGAAGGGTAACATTTTTGATTTGGATTACTAACTGACTAAATGAAATAAAACAGGGGGTAGTCATTAAGAGAGTGTGGTCAAAATGGGAGAAGTACTGCGTAGTTCGATGCCAGGATGCTGTCCAGTTTCCAATATCGGCCAGGACACTGGATTCATTTAAGATTCAGCTCAGTGTTGTAATAGGAAGATTGTAGGGATTCACCCAGAAACCGTGTGACCAGTCAAACCTCCAAATCTCTGCAATATAATAAATCATAACTCGGTTTAGCTTTCCGGTTCTGCGACAAATTGGCGTTGTAAATATTACAAGAATCTATAGGGCCGGCAAAGGGAGAACCACATCCTATTACCACCGCTTATTGGTTCGGCTGCTTAGCAGCAGTCTTGAGATTTACTTGCACTCATCAAATATTTAAAGCACCAGTGGGTCATGGAGATACAAATCAAAACTTGCTTCAGAAGGAAACTTGTAAAATGTACAATAGCTCTGCGGTTGCCCACAATTTCCAACTCTTATGTCCTTAATATTACCATGCGGCTTGTAAGACATTCTGTCCGCATTGCCAAGGGATAATATCCATCTTCCACATTGGATAACTTCTCTTGTAGTGCAATAATGCAGTAGGTGCCCTGATGATTTTTGCCGGTGATAATTATCACATCGCACAGGTCATCTTTGTTCGCACCCTCCGCGTAATGTTGTTGTTCTAGCGATTCGGAGAATGAGAAATCAGATCACTTCATTATTCTTATTGTTTTTAACTGGACTCGGACACGATACATCGAAGGCGTACTACGCCTTTGCTTTTATCTTGTGCCTCTGAATCCTGTGCCTTTGTCTGTGTGTGAGGAGCCACAAGCAAAAGAGAGGTGACATTTGAAGTGGTGAGATCCACTGTGAAGTGAAGTATAGATATGGTGAGTCAGTGTAGGGCATTCCTGTTTAATTGATCTGTTGATCTTGTCTTAGTGTGTGTGTGTGTGTGTGTGTGTGTGTGACAACGACTTTCAAGCAGAGTAAGTGAGGCTTTCAGCTAAAATTGATATGACGACCAGTCAGACTGAACCCTTGAAGGCAAAGCAGTAGATCTGAAGGCCATTGTGCACTTGGGGAGTGTACCATCGCTGCTGAGACAGAAGGGAAATCAGGAACGAGCAGAGCTCAGACACACTGTGGATGGATAGATAGCGCAGCTCAAAGGAGGAATAAAGACGCAAAGCGACATTAGTCAATTGGCATCTTTGCCAACTCTGTGGGAGAGAGAGAGAGAGAGAGGAGGGAGGGAGGGAGTGAGAGGGGGGGAACAAAAAATATTCGTTGTGCTTCGTTATTTTTTTTCCCAGTCCTCACTAAAATCAGCGCTTTGACCCCAACCCCCACAGTCGACGTCCGATTCCCGCAGAAGCCGCTGTCAACCCACCGGGACGAGTGGCCCCGGAGCCGGGACCCCCGTGCGGTCGTGTACACGGGGGCGTCGCTTTAATTTGGTTAAACCTAAATGATTTGGAGACCGGTGCATTTAAAATGGCGGTAGTCGTTACACATCCACACTGAGACCTCACCCAGACTGGTGTGTGTGCGTGTGTGTGTGTGTTTTTCTTTGCTCGGTGGTGCTCCCTCCTCTGCTGTCACAGTTTATTTTCTGGTATGTTCGAGTCGGATTGTCTGTGCGCTCTGGCAATCAGCAAAGAAGCTCATGGTAAGGCTTGTTATTACTGTCCAGGGCAAAGGGGGGTTGGGGGGGGGGGGTGATGGATGGGGGTGGGATGGGGGGTGGGGGTGGGGGGGTACTTATAATTCAGTGAGGGTCGTGAGTTTTACCACGCAGGACGTTTCATGTTGCGCGCAAAAAAAAAATCTTGATCGCCGGAGAGGCTCTCGCACCACGAAAGGGAATAGTTCAGTTTCCAGCAGAACGTCTTTTGCGCCCTTCGAGAGAACAAACAACTGGATATCCGCCAAGACTTTTTATGTGGTTTTTTTTTCTCTCTCACTCTCTCTCTCTCTCTTCTCTCTCTCGCGTCGGTCCTCTCGTGTTGTTGCAAACTGCGTTTGTGCCGTTGGTGTTGGCGGCCGATTTTGCAATGTGGTTTAAATAAAGTTCTCTGCAGAAATGTGCACTTGTATGTAACGTACGTGACTGGGACAAAAACATGTCAAATTTTGCATGTGGTACGTTGAAGAAGTCGAGGCGGATCTGTCGATATGTTTAAGGTGAAGCATTAAACATCACTCGTCGGTATTTTTTTTTGTGTGTGTGTGTGGGGGGGTCATCACCTGCGGATTGCATCGGTCTTCAATTGAACGGAAAAAAAAACCTAAATTCAGACGCCGAACTAAAACAAATGATCGCAGCGTAATAGATGGCGCAGCAGAACGCCACATTAACAATTCCATCAATTATTCACTCTTTCGTGGCAGAAAGGTTATTTTGGGGCATTTTTTTTTTTTTTTTTGCAAACCCAGCCTGAGCTCACTTCTTGACAGGAGAGAGCTATTTCAAAGAATAAATCAATACCCGATCTGATTGTTTGCATTAGTCACAGAAAGGTTCTCGCTTTCATAGTAGTGGGCAGAGCATTTTGCTTTGAGTACATTTTGCATCTGGAATCAAATGACGGACTCGGTGGTTAAAATTATGTTTTGAGTTTTGCAGTTCGGGGGACTTGAGTGGCAACACCTTTTTTTGCAATCGAGATGCATAGAAATCTTCAGGTCATAAACAGAATACGCCTGGGATGGAAATTCCCCATCACAGCTGTGGTAGTCAGGTTCGCCACCTGAAAAACAAGGCACGATTAAATCGTTGGGACAGGGTGGGAAAATAGTCGATCGCAAAGCTGGAGGGATAATAAAAAAACACTAACTCACTGGGTCGCAACCAGCAACCCCCCCAAAAAAGAGCAAAATGCGTATGAAATGAGATTGCAATGGTCCCAATACCACCGGATTTTTTAAGATCAAAATTGAAATTGGAAAGACGTGAAGGTGGATTGAATCTTATAAGCAAATGCACCTTTATTTATAGACAAATCAACTTATGAACGAATACATCTTTTTTTTTGGGGGTGGTTGCTCCCTCTGGACACTCAGGGACCTCGAATACTTGTGGCTTCTCCTTGTGTGTGGTTTCAATCAGAAACTTTAGAACAATGAACGTGTTTCAAGAGGAGTCATTACTCTGCAAACCTGAGATCTGATCCTGTAATTAGAGAGTAGCAATGATCTAAGCGGTGTGTAACACTATTAAATATCACAGGCTGTGTGTGACACCAGTTCCCTTTTGCTGCTCGACGCTGGGTTGGGTTTGTTACAGTAATTACACAACCCATCGACTCCCTGTAGCAGTTGTAAAATAAGCCTTAGCAAAGTGCTTTCGATGGGATATTCGAATCCCAAATCTCTCACCTGTTTCTAAACAAGGCAATTAATGATTCTAATTCTGACATCCGCCTCCCTTCATTTCACCTTTCTTTACCTCATTCAGCCCAGCTCCCAGATTGGTAAGGCTCCTCCTATTTGTTCCGCAGTGACCTTTCTTGTATATAATAATTGTAATAATAATAATAATAATCCTTGCATTTTGATACAGCGCCTTATCGCATCTCCGAGCCGTCTCAAAGCGTTCCACGGAATATACCATAAAGCCGCGGTGACTGTGTCGCGCACGCGCGAAAGGTGGTGAAACGCGTACCGACGGGCGACTCGTGCGACCGCCGCGCACCAACAGAAAAACTTTTCTCCGCTCGTCCCGTCCCGTGCCGTGCCGTGCCGGCCGATCAAAAAGGGTCAAAGAAGTGCGGGCGATTATCAAGTTCGTTTTATGATCTGCAGAACTTGCTTTTTCTTCTTTCTCGAATAGAATTTTTTTATATTATAGTGTATTATATTTTTTTTTAAAAATCGCTCTGTCAACAACAACAATTTGCATGTTGCCCTTCAAGGCTGGGCAGTGTCCCCCAACCCCACCCACCCAGAGGGCCTGGAGTGAGTGAGAGTGAGTGGAACTTGACTGTCTACCTCACAGATGAACCTAAATCGGAGTCCTGTAGCTCAGTGGTTAGAGCACTCGCTTTGCAAGCGAGAGACCTGAGTTCAATTCCAGGCAGAGGGCGAAACCTTGGGCAAGTTTCCTTACTCCACACAGAGCCTAATAATAATCCCTCCAAAAAACCAAAAACAATAATTAAAATTGGTCATTTTCAATCTACAACTGCTTGTGGGACATTGCTGTGCGCAATTGGGTGCCGCGTTCGCCCACAAATATACAGTCAATTCACTTTACAGTGTGTTCTGTGAAGCGCTTTGGGACGTCCTCCCGACGTGAAAAGCGCTATACCAAATGCAAGGATTATTATTATTATTATTATTAATGCAGGGCATCCAGGCCATGGGCTGCGAGGGTGGCAGTGAAGCTCTGGCTGCCCTGCGCCCTGTACCTCGTGACCCCGCTCTGATTGGCTCCTCCCCCTCCTCTCCTCTCCCCCCCCCTCGAGGAAGGGGGCGGAGTTAGGCCTTTCTGGAGGAAGGGCCCCCAACGGTTTTTTTTTGGCGGCATTCGCTGAGTCTGACTCCCCGGTTATTTATTTATGTTGTGTGTGTGTGTGTGTGAGGAGAGAGAGAGAGTGAGGGATTGATCGATCGATCGATCAGAGGCCACTTTTCAGTCGCAGCTTTTCATGAACTCGCGGAAACCGAGTGCTGCAGCGGCGGCTGATTGATCGATGATCGATTGATTGATCGATTGATCGATCGATCGATCTCGCGAGAGAGAGAGAGAGAGGAGAGAGAGGCGGAGAGAGAGAGAGCGAGAGAACATGGTGGTGCTGCTGCTGCTGCTGATGCCCGTGAAGTAGTTCGTTCGGCTCGAGCTGCACTTCTTCCTCGTCGACGAGGATCTCGGTCGACGCCGGACTTTCTTGAGGTGGGAAAAAGAGAGTTGATTCGTGTCTCCCATCAGCTCCTTGTGACTTGTTTTGCGTTCAGCGGCGCGTTGTCGAGAGGTGTGTGAGGGGGGGTTTGAGGGAGAGGAGGAGGAGGTGAGGGTGGGTGAGGGGGGGGTGAGGAGGAGGGGAGGTGGGTGAGGGGGTGGGGGTGAGGAGGAGGATGAGGTGGGTGAGGGGGTGGGGGTGAGGAGGTGGGGGTGGGTGAGGGAGAGGAGGATGAGGTGGGTGAGGGGTGGGGGGTGAGGAGGAGGAGGTGTGGGGTGGGTGAGGAGGAGGTGGGGGTGGGTGAGGGAGAGGAGGAGAGGTGGGTGAGGAGGTGGGGGTGGGTGAGGGAGAGGAGGAGGTGGGGAGGGGGGGGGGGAGGAGGAGGTGGGGTGGGGAGGGGGGGTGAGGGGGGAGAGGAGGTGAGGGTGGGTGAGGAGGTGGGGGTGAGGGTGAGGGAGGAGGGAGGGTGAGGAGGTGGGGGGTGAGGGAGGAGGAGGTGAGGGGGGGATGTGAGGAGGTGGGGGTGAGGGTAGATGAGGAGGTGAGGGGTGGGAGGGTGCGGAGGAGGAGGTGAGGGTGGATGAGGAGGTGAAGGGGGGTGAGGGAGAAGAGGTGGGGGTGAGGAGGTGAGGGTGGGTGAGGTGAGGGGAGGGGATGTGAGGAGGTGGGGGTGAGGGTAGATGAGGAGGTGAGGGGTGGGAGGGTGCGGAGGAGGAGGTGAGGGGATGTGAGGGGGTGAGGGTGGAGGAGGAGGAGGAGGTGAGGGGATGTGAGGAGGTGGGGGTGAGGGTGGAGGAGGAGGAGGAGGTGAGGGGATGTGAGGAGGTGGTGGATGAGGAGGTGAGGAGGGAAGTACTTTTGGATCGATCCCTCAAAGCGGCACTCCTGGTCAGGTCAGTTTGTTTGTTACCGGGTTTTTTAACTTGTGTGTTTAAAAAAAACTTTCATCTTCAACTCAGTTCTTTACTTGTCGGTAATTGTTCTTTTTTTTTGGACGTCTACTTTCGAATTCCGGTTTTTTTCTCCCCAGGGTTTATCGCAGTTATTATTCCTATTTGATTATTAACGTTATTATTATTATTATTTTATTGTTAATGTCATTATTATTATTATTTTTGTGGAACCTCTCCAATTCTCGGTGTTGTCAATAGCACCTTCATTCATTTATTTATTTTAAAGTAAGTGAGTTCCAGTCACAGGAGGAACAGGAGTCTCAACGGGGTGGGGAGTAGGGTGGCAGGTGAGGAACTTCTCCCATATGTTGGGTACTTTTTACTGTGTGTTCACTGAAAATTATTTGCTCAGAGAGAAAGAGAGAGGCCATTTCTGGGTAACTTAGTTTCACTTCCTGTTCTGAGGATGTGGAGCTCAAAATCTGCAGCATTTTTCTCCCAATAACAAGCTCTTGTTAGCAGCTGCTGGCTTTTTTAAAAAAAATGGCTATAAAGCTGTCAGTGTCTGAGCCTGTCTCAGTGCAGAACATTCTGCGTATGGGGGGGGGGTGGAAAAAAATCAGTCGAAGTAGGCAATGAATTGCCCTGTAAGTAAGAAACGGTGTTTAAATATGTGTTGCACCCTGTGCAGGTAATACACACTCATAAAGCACTTTGGGACTGCGTGAGGGGAGCTATATAAATGCAAGTTGTTATTGTTGTAGCTTAGATGCCGCTGAGCACAAGCCAATTAAAAATACGTGATCCAAATTCAGAATAAGGTTTTTCTTTAGCCCACAAAATATACCGTCAATTCACTTTACAGTATGCCCTGT